GAGGAAGAAAGGAGGGAGAAGTATCTGCATGTTTATCTTATTTATATTCCTTTGCAAACATATTTTAAATGTTTCAATTGAAAAATTATAACTTCAAATGTAACTTCAGTCACCCTGCTCTAGTTCCCTTACCCCCATAGAAAACATCCACAAACATATCCTTTGCAATATATATATATATATATATATATATATATACATACACACACACACACACACACACACGCCAATTAGAACAGGCTGGAGAGAAAAAAAAGAGTAAAAATTATAGATAAGGCAAAACTATGTGGTATAGTTTAAATAACCCATGGCTAGTCATCTTATTTATAATAATGATCATTCTTTACATTTTGTACTAATGTTGTCCTTACAAACTACTCTTTCATGCCCTTTCTCAACGTCCTTTAGAGGTTTGCCAGACTCCCGGAGCTGCTGCGGTTTCCTAAATCAGAAACTGAGGATCACAAGAGGGGAAGTGTATTGCCCAAGTTCACATGAATAGGTGTGTGAGAAAGTGGGACCTTATCCTTTGAAAATCAGAGCATCCTTAGTACTAGGTGAAAATGAGAGCATTTTGTTAATCTCTATGTTTTTTAAATTTCTTGATTTGTTTGATAATTGCTGATGGTTTCTGGGCTAAATAGTATTTCCTAGATGCAACCTGTATAAAGGCATAGCTGCATGTATGAGGCAAGGATGTCTATCTCCAAAGCAAAAAGCATCCTATCAAAATGGCAAAAAGGGAATTAAAATAAATACAGTGAGAATGATTTAGAAATTAAATACTGTGCTGAATGCACTCACATATTATCACAACCACCACCTGGCATAAGACACTAGCATCTCTTACCTGGGCTACTGCACTGTCCTCCCTTCTTCCAGTGGCATTACTGGTATTTTATTTACCTGTCCCTCCCCTACCTAAAACTGTCTGATGGCTTTTCTTTGCACTTATGCTAGAACTCAAAACCCTTTTCTTTCACCCTGATTGACAATGTCATACATGATGAGACCCTGCCCTATATTTCAACTGCATCTCATAACTCAGCTCTCTAACCTTCCCTGCTGCAACTGTCCAGTCACGCTGGCCTTTTGGGTTCTCTAACAACCCAACCGGTCCCTATTTTAAGGTCTTTGCTTTGTTTTATTTATTTTTATTTTTTTAATTTACCTTTATTGTTGGAAGTATTACAAATGTCCCTCTTTTTCCCCCATTGGTCCCTTCCCCCTTGTACTCCTCCCCCCAGGTCTTCACCCCACTACTGTCTGTGTCCATGAGTATGGCATATATGCATATACGTTTTTAGGTTAATCTCTCCCCACCCCCACTTTCCCTCTGAGATCCCTCAGTCTGTTCCATGCTCTATGTCTCTGGATCTATTTTGTTCCTTGGTTTATTTTGTTCATTAGATTCCACATATGAGTGAGGTCATGTGATACTTGTCTTTCTCTGCCTGGTTTGTTTTGCTTAGCATAATACTCTCCAGGTCCCACCATGCTGTCCCAAAGGGTAAGAGATCCTTCTTTTTTACAGCTGCATAGGATTCCATGGTATAAATGTCCGAGAAGATGCTTGATGTGATTTCAATTTCCTTGAACTTGCAGAGACTTGTTTTGTGTCCTAACATGTGGTCTGTCTTTACAGTCTTTGCATCGGCTGTGCCCTCTGTCTGAAATGTACTTCTTCCTGACCGGCAAATGGTGGTTCCTTATCACTGAAATTTCAAATGAAATGGTGCCAGCCCAGAAACAACATTTCCTGGATCACAAAGGTTAAAGTAGCCCCTCAAATACTCTTTTTCACATTAGCTCTTAAGCTCTTCAGAAAACTTATTCCTATGTGACATTTTTCTTGTGTTCTTTTTTTATTGGGTGTCAGCCTCTCTAGAGATTCAGATGTGGGACCTTGCCTCTTGTGATCATTACTGGGTGCCCAGGGCCTTGAAATGTATCTGATATCTCAAGGTACTCCATTAATATTTGTTAATATTTGTGTGTGTGTATATAGATATATATCACAAGGAACACATATCAAATATAATTTGTTTATTGTTGGTAAATATGTTGGCAAATAATACTTATAATTGTCAAGTGTAAATATTCATAGATTTTAGTTATAAGCTCATCTGTATTTCCAACCAATTTCTTTTACTTTTGTTATAAAATAGCAAAATTTAAGAGTTCTAGCATGGCTTTGGTTATATTTCACATGACTAGACAAACCTTAATTATCATTCCTCTCATCACTAAGCCTACATTTAGGCAGGGATGATGGCTTCTGACTGGCTCTGTCCACACCCTGTCTTCGGGAGAGAAAGATGAGAGGTGTGCACTAATCCATTTTTGTTTCCCAGCAATTTACTAGGCCTTCCTACTCCAAAGTAATCATGGGTTTGGAAACAACAGGTGCTGCTCCAAATTGAAGCTAATCAACAGGACCATGATAATAAAAACTGAGCTGGTAATTCATTAAAGCATTAAATAAAAACTAGAATTATTAATTTTTAAATACTGACAACGTCCTATTGTCATAATCAGCTTTTTGTTTTCTCCAAAACATCTAACAAAAATCAGGGCCAGCACAGGTTTCATAATGGCTTAGCTAATTTAGAGTTTAATAGATTTTATGCATGAATACACACAAAGTTAGTAAAAGTGGTAATACTTACCATTATTTATAAACTCACAAGAGATTTCTGAATGTGTTTTGCTTAAATAGTACTTTGTGCTTATTTCAACAAATTGTCCAGAAATGGCTATGGGCTACAAGTGATACCATATTCGGGTGTCATTTTTAAAACTCTAGGTTTTACCAAAAGCTATGTCAGCTAAAAGGCTGCCCTTGTCCTCTTGATAATCATTCTAACAGCTTAAATACAAGCCAAAATCTCCAAATCTTGCCTGAGGACAAACTGTTTTTTGTATGTAAATCCTAGCTGTGTAGTGATATCACTATTTTAGGTTTCCCATCCTCCAACAGGCTGTGGGTGAGGAAATCACACAGCGTGTATATGTACGTGTGTATGTCGTGTGCACTGTCACAATTCATCTTTTCTTGCAACTCAGTCTCTGACTGCAATTAATTAATTGATTAGCATGAATAATTAATGCCACATTGCTAATCCTATTGAGAAAAAGGGGTCGGGAACAATGTGGGTACTTAGCCAGCAGAAGGGGGTGGGAAAATAAACTGCACAGAGAAGACAGTGGCGCCACTGTGGGAAAAGCAGGAAAGGAAGAGGCTGGATTTTAAAGACTTTCAAATGTTGTCTGAGGTTCCTTTAAGTTGCACAGATGGGTGTGAGCAGAAGTTGTAACCTGAAGAATGCTGGCACATCAATGTGTGTCTCTCACATCGATCTCTCTCTCTCTCTCTCTCTCTCCCTCTCTCTCCCTACTTCCCTCCCTTCCACTCTCTCGAAAAATCAATGGACCACAAGAAGGCGGCTCTATAGCTTATGATTTATGACAATAAATGGGTGGAGTAAATTAGTTTCCCTTGGGTATGGAGGGATGCGGTATAAACTCAATAGTTATAATACGATTATTATAACCCTCACCTCAAGGGTTAGCTGCAACCACCCAAATGATCACAGCCGGGTAAAATGTCAACATACAGAGAATAGTACCTCCTTGTTCAAAATACCAATATTTGTGACAATTCTCTCTTATTTATGCCTTCCTACTCTTTCCAAAGATATGAGCTCAAAAATGTGTATTCCCCACCCTACTGTCACACTATAATTTAGTACCGGAATCACAATCCTGCCAGCATATCTAATGAGTTTCTTTGGTAATGTTTTAAAGCTTTTAATCTTCATAAATAATAACAAAGTAAACTTAAGGTGCTTGGACAATTTCTCTAGCTTAATGTATTCAAATTCACAGTTGGCACTTCATTTCTTTTCATTTAAAAATAAATCTATCTTGTCTTCATAGGTTCTACATGACTACACACACCTAACAATATAAATCAGTGCAATACATCGAGAATGATGGGCTCTACTTGTTACCTTTATAAGAAAAGTACCATATTCAGAAGTGTCTCCAAAATTCTTTTCTGATTAAGTCAATATATATTCTTAAAATACTTCAGAACCATGCAGTACTTGAATAAGGATTTCCAAACATGGAGAAAAACATTTTTCAAGAGGATTTCCATAAGCATATGAGAAACTACTTAATATATGTGAGGGCTTTTCCTTCCGAAGAGAAGTTTCCCGTCAACTGTACCTAACAGGCACAGGCACACCTCGTTTTACGGCGCTTCGCTTTACTGCGCTTCACAGTTGCAGAGTTTTTTACAAATGAAGACAAGGCCTCAGACCTTCCACCATCAAAAAGATTACAAGGGCCCTGGCCAGTTTTGCTCAGTGGTTAGAGTGTCGGCCCGTGCACCAAAAGGTTGCGGGTTCGATTTTTGGTCAAGGGCACATACCTGGGTTACAGGCTGATCCCTGGCCCCAGTCTGGGGGCGTGCTGGAGGCAACCAATCAACGTCTCTCACATAGATGTTTCTCGCTCTCTCTCTCCCTACTTCCCTCCCTCCCACTCTCCCTAAAAATCAATGGAAAAAACATCGTCAGGTGAGGGTTATAAAAGAAAGATTACAAGAGGCTTCATTGCTATACTCACTTTATCGCAGTGGTCTGGAACCAAGCCTGCAATATCTAAGCTATGCCTGAACATGGTTTCCTGTGTATACTTCCAGTCCTTCTATAGTCACATTTTAATTTTTTGAGAAAACTTGGAAAATATTAACTATGAGAACAATTTGGCAACTTTTAAAACATAGTTCTGTAGAAACTAGTCTTTCTATCCAACATCTCCACTTCCATTACAGAAGTGAAAATGGAAAACGAAAATCCAACCAAAATGTCCCTTGAGGAAGAGCTCTGCATGCTGTAGGAACAAACTGAGACTCGACGTAAACAAGAAACTGCATCAAAATAACAGCGACACTCCAAAACGTGCTGTTTTTAGAAATTAAAGACACTTACTTGCTTTGCTTCTCCATGCTAGCTACCCTGAGGCATTCCCATCTTGAATTTAGGAGATTCATTTGTTCTTGTACTTCAGTCTCTTCATCTTCTGATAACTTCCCCGTCCCAATCAGCTGACTTCCCACTTGGAGGACATCACCAACCCGTCCCTGATGGGACGTCAAGTCCATCATGTACCCCTGACAAGGAAAGAGGTTGACAGCAATGATTAATGCTTTAGGTAAATCATTGTGGTTTTGATATTTTTTTCTAAATGTGTAGCCCATTTAAACTATATTCCCAGTAAAAGTATTTTAATTTTTATTCAAGGAAACCCAATATTGTTTTTAATATGATTAAAGAAACTAATTAGCTTAGGTCACCTTTTGCAGAAGGAGCCAGTAAGATTGGGGTTTGTGGGCATGTGGCTTATGAAGGAGGAGCTCCAAGAGGAGGCCTGCAAGGGAGCTGCAGAAGCAGAATGAGGACAGGGGAGGAGGGGAGGCCCGTGAGTGTGCCATCTCAGGCAGTGACACCACGCAAGTACTCTGGAGTGTAAGTTTATAGCTCGGTATTGCCTTGACCCAAGAGAAGGGAGCTGGGCTTTCATATTCCTGCACGAGTCATTGCAAAATCAGATCTCAGCACCTTCAAGTGGTGTTCTCCAAGTCAGAACTTCAAATGCTGGCTATTGGAACCCCAAGCACATGAACATCTATTTTTTTTCCATCCCAAAATAAGAACTAAATTACTGAGTAAAGTATATGATTGTCTAACCACTAAGCTGCACACCTGAAACCAATACAAAATAAAACTGAAAGAAAAAACAAAACTAAATTACAAAAACACCAGGATCTTCCGCAGTGATTGAAATAAAGAGATTTGCCATTATGACAAGTCATGTGCTTTGTTTTCATAAATCAATGTGTTGCTTTACCTCATGAGTATGAAATTGTTCTTTCACTTCCTCTACATCACTAGAAATCTCTCCCTGGGCTCGCAATGTGTCCTCGGCTGAAAGAAGCCACGACAGTACTTCTTCTAGAGCTGTTTGGTAACTGTCCAGGCTTACTTCAGTCCCCATCGATGAACTGCCAAATGACTTGTCTTCAGGAGCTTCCAAATGCTGAACAATAAAATAAATTGGGCATTATACAATTAGTATTTTTGCAGACTGTTCCAGTACATTCAATTATAAAACGAGTGAAATATTTAAAATGCTAGAAATGTCCACAGTCATGATCAGAGACATGAATGGCGAACACACACAAGAGTGAGCCTGCATTTTAACAGCCTCACAAATATACACAGAAATTTCCAAATGCTACCCAAAATCCACTTTGAATTAATATCTTACTAAAGTTCTTCTGGATTACTATAAAGAGTAGGTTAGTACATCATTTCTTCGTGTTATATTTGAAAAGCTATGAATTTTCATCCATAGGTAACTTTTCCAGTTCATATTTTAAGGGCTTTACTTATACACGTTTGGCATTATATTTATGCACTTCTGCAATGATATTAAAGGAAACACCTCTTCCCCAAAGCCACAAGGTAATGAAATGTTTCTGAAAATTCACAGAGTAGAAGAATTATCAGTATGAAAATAAGTGGGGGGAGGGGGTAAAATTGAAAAAGAAATGCCTCACTAACACATCTGAAATTGCTAACAGTATAATGACTTCTAGGAATTAAGCCTTTATTTCCAGAGGCCATGGTCTAAATAGCAAGATATTAACTTAGGAGAAGTAAAATATAAAGTATTTGCTTCTGAATTGAATTAGCAGGAAGTTAAGTGAGATTCTCAAGAGTTGTCTTGGAATTTCTACTGGGACCCTAAAGCTGAGAACAAAGGGTACGAAGTACCCATAATTCTAAAGAGAAGATCAAGGCCACCAAAGAAGGAATTGCTAAAAGGTGACCACAAAACTGGCCCCAGAACCCTTAATCCACTACCTAGCTCAAAGGTGTGTAAGCAGCAGCAAGGAGTTGGACAATTTTGGTGAGAAAAGCCCTCTGGAGTGCTATGCATGCCCACACCTCTCCCTACCTCAAGCCAAGTAATGGGGAATTCAAGGGAATTGCCTGTACAGAATAAGGTACTTGCCAGGATAGAATATTGACCTCCAAAGCTAGTTGTATGTTTGCAGAGGTTCAGAAGTGATGGGGCCAGTACTACCAAGTGACAGGAGAGCCCTCTTGGGATACCTATATGTCTGCTGCTTTAACTTCAGGCAATTATCAATGGTAAAAATCTGAGCAAATAAGAAAATGTGCCTGAATGTTTTGTTTGGGTCAAGTGCACTCATGCTAGGTTGCTCGGCTTCCTTGAATTGCCAGTTCTACTCAATGCTGGCCTTACCCCACTGCACTGCCAGCACCAACTTAACTGTGCTCTTCTGATAAATGTGCCAATTCTAACATTATAAATTTATCTATTAAATCCTTTAAGATGGCAAAAGACAGCGGCAGTGTTTGGTGTGACATTTTAATCAAATGATGTGCTCTCTAGAAACACTAGAGAAATACCAAAAATAAGCCATCCTCATAAGTCACCCAACTCTAGTATCCCAAACAGGGCATAAGTGCCCTGAGAGAGTTATTTGCAAAGGCCCGCCCAAGGTCAAGGCAGTTTCTGAAGGTCTTAGGGGTTATAACAAGTTCCATGGTATATATATCCCTTCTGCCCATCCCTAAATACTATCAATAAATATATCAAAGAAGCATTAAGAAGAGAAAAGTCACAAAGTGTGGTAAAGGTCGGGGGGATATA